GTGCATTTAATTGTGTTTTTTCAATGTCTTTTAATTTGGGACATAATCTTTTTTTGTCTTTCATGTCTTTGAAAAATATTTTTGTTTCCCTTTTTTTGAGCTTTATTGAGGTACAATTGATATACAAAAGACTGCACACGTTTAATGTATACAGCTTGATGAGTTTGGACATACGCATACGTCTATGATACATCACCACAACCAAGGTACCAACTATATCCATCACCCCCCAAAATTTCCTGGTATTCTTGTGTGTGTGTGTTACCAACATAGGCCCCCTGTGCAGTATGCCAGTCACCAAGACAAAGAGTTTTGCAGCAGAGAAAGGGTTTATTGATGAGGCAGCCAAGCCAGGAGACGAGAGAACAAGTCTCAAATCTGCCTCCCTGAAAATGAAAATTAGAGAAATTTATGGGATAAAGGGGCAGGGTGGTCTGAAGTGTGGGGATAGATGATTGGAGGTGAGGAGAGGTGAGGTCATTGATGATCTACACAAGCATAGTCAAGCTTCATGGCTCTTCATAGGACGCATGTTCACAAAATGGTGGCATTAGATGACCTGAGGGTGGAGTTTTCGGCCCCCTGATGTCAAAGGGTCACCTATTGGACACTTGCACAGGCCTAGTAGATGGGTTGGTGATCTCAGCTGACTTGAACTGGACAAGGAGTCGACTCTCAGTTCCTGAAAGAACACTTAAGCACCTGTAACTGTGGTGACCCAAGCATCAGAGACGTTGTCTGTAAGGAACCTTGTGAAAGTGTGGTAATATATTACTTATCTACATGACTTTTAAATAAGCAGCACAGCTAACAATCGTAACAAACAGCTACGATTAATAACTGCCTGGAAAAAACTGTGTTACTAGCTATCCAATCATTAATGGCTATCTATCTGGCCACCAGTTTCGTGTGTGTGTGTGTGTGTGTGTGTGTGTGTGTGTGTGTGTGTGTGTCTGTCTGGTGTTTTGGTAAGAACACTTAACATGAGATCTAGCCTCTTAACATATTTTAAAGCACACAACCTTGTATTGTTAACTATAGGTACTATGCGGCACAGTAGATCTCTAGAACTTATTCATTTTGCATGACAGAAACTTTATACTCATTGAAAAGCATTTCCCCAATTCCCCCTCCTCTGGTCCCCTGGCAACCACCATTCTTTTCTCTGCTTCTATGAGTTTGGCTATTTTAGATGTCTTACCTAAGTGGAGTCATACCATATATTTTGAACAGCAAAAGCCGGTGATTTTGTAGAATGTCCCGCAGTTTGGATTTGTCTGGTGTTTCCTCACAATGAAATCCAGGTTATGCTTTTTGGGTGTTTGAGAAAGACCACAGAAATGATGTTGTATCCTTTGTAGGGCATTACTGTTGATGCTAAATTTAATCATCTGCTGAAGGATTGAAGGGGAGCAGCACACCCACTCCAAAACATGCCTCTTGGCATAAGGATTATTCTGAGAAACAGCAGACACAGGAGAACCTCTGAAAACAGAGCATGAGTGGTCCTGTCGTACGGGATGTTTCCATGTGTAACGGAAGTCTCTGTAAAGCCGTCCCCCTCTCTGCAGCAGGAAGACAAGGTTCTAAATGACAAGAGACTCTTCTCAGTGGAGAAGGCACCCACTTAAATCTGCATAGCAACCTGACCCTTGTTGACCTTGTTTTCCTGGTCACCTCCCATAACTGGCCTCCCAAACTGTTCTTTCTTTTGCCTCTAGCCAGAGGTGGTATTGAAGCTGGTGGTTTAGGCTACCTTGGGGAGTTACTGACTTTTCCCTGGTGTTTCCCATGTACATGTTAATATACTTCTGCTTGTTCTTTCTCTTGTTAATCTGTCTTTTATTACAGGAGTCTCAGGTAAGAACTCAGAAAGGTAGAGGGAAAGTTAGTTTTTCTCCCCAATCCTGGTTATGTGCTCTACAAAGAGATGAGCGGAATGAATGCGAGGTGGCACGTTGCAGGCTATGAAGTGTGACAAGGAGCACAGAGCATGCAATCATTGTCATAACTGTAATGGGGATACAGAGAGACGGACAGAGAGTGCTGCCTGCTCCACTTGGACTTCCTCCGAGAGGACTGGGTGAGAGTGTTACTTATCTTAGAGGCGTTGAGGTGGAGTCCTTGGGGCGGAGCAGGTTGACTGCTGGGGCTGAGGTGTGGGCAGCATGCTTGAGGCTCTGCAGAGAGGGATTGTGACACATACTGTGTGATGAACACCGCTGGGGAGGCTGGGCTCCTCCCTCAATGGTTTTCATGTTGCCTCATAAACTCAAAAAAAAAAAAAAAAAAAGCCACGATTTGTCAAACAGGGCTCCCATCTCCCCAGGAGCCTTAGATTGATTTCCCTTGAACTGTGTGGTATTACTTCCTTTCAGTGAGATAAGAGATGCTGGTAAAATTCAACTGCAGGACAAACCTGTTCCAGGCCCTGGAACTGGGAGAAATGGCCACACCTACTGAGACTGGGAGAAATTAAAGGCAGCTTTATTGCTTCTGCATTCGTTCTCAACGTCAGTGACCCAAAGGCATGTGCCATTACAAGGAGCACAGAAGCTCTTCAGAGACACAGAGACTGAGCCCAAAATGAAAGTCCGCGGCAGTCAGGTTCTCTGGGTCATCTCTACACCTTTGCGCTCTGCTCTCTGCTTCCCAGATGCTGGTGTCTTCAGGCTGCCTTTTTGCCTTCTCTCATAACCACCCAACTCAGACTCGCCCATTTTCGAAGAGTTCAGTGCTCCCAGTTCTCTCTCCGCCTTTTGCTGTAATCAGATCTCCTGTTTTCAGAGTAGCCAATCTTAGCACTAATTTTGATAATGATAGCAACAACAACAACATCAATGCTTTACTGCATATCAGCCAGTCTGGTGTTATCTGATTAAAGTGATTCATACTTGTTGCTATATATATCATTTCCCAGCCTTTGAATACAAGATGAAGTAAACACTGACCACGTGATTCTCTGCTGGTAAAAATTTCCCCTCAATTTAAACTGCTTTAAATGTAATCTCCTGAAGCTTTATTATCCCATTTATGTCCTTTAACAGACTTAATCTGTTACAATTTGTGTGGGTCAGGTAAATGTGTGCATATGTTATTTAGAATCTTCTTGAATTACCTTCACCTTTACTCTTGCTAATTGTCTTGGTCCCTTTCATTCCTAATCTCTGCTTGTTCTAGTTTGCAGTGTGGGGGATCAGATTTGGCCACCCCAAAAGGTCTCTGGTTTGATTATTTTTAAGGACAAAAAGAGTCTGAAAGAAACTTTTACCTTAACTGCCTAAAAGAATTTAAGATGGGGAAGTCCTGTTCTACGAAGGAGCTAATACCATAAGATAACATTGTCTATACATGGCCCAACAAACACTTGGTTAACAAACATTTACATTTCTATCTCCATGTAAATTGCCCTCCTCCTTTTTTCGGCCCCAAACCACTACCCCCAATATCCTCCTTTGTCTTTAGCTGAACATGGTTTTTAAGGTGGTGGCTTTGGCCATTCTAGTGAGTTACTCAGTTTTCCTGAGTTTCCCCCATGTAGACATGTAAAACTTTGTTTGATTTTCTCCTGTTAGTCTGTCTCATGTCAATTTAATTCTTAGACCAGCCAGAAGGACCTAGAGGGGAGAGGAATTGTTGTCCTCCCCTACACCAGCTACTATTGCTGTTTTTGGATTGGAGACTTTCCCCTCTTTAGCCTCCTTAGACCTTAATGAATCAATTTGTTAGAATGTTTGCTAAATGCCTACTACAAGCAAAACACTGTTAACTTGAAAGAGCATGTCCAGAAACAAATATAACAAATGAAAATGTACAATATGTCAATGCAAATAATCCATAATCAATCTATAAATCAAAATTTGGGTGAGTTTATTATGAGCCAGATCTGAGGTCCAGCCTGGGCCCTCCCTTCCCTAGGGGCACCAAAGAAGTAAGATGTACAGAGTGGCTATGTACCATCTTGGAACAAAGAGCATACATCACACATGATAGGAATGTCCCTTTTACAATTGTCACGAGATGCTTAGCTCACCGCAGATCAGTGGTCAGCAGGTCAGTGGTCACAAAGTGAGTGGTCACAAGGTGAGCACAGCAGGTCAGTAATTAATCCTTAGTTTAGGGAGAGATACTTATCCTAAAGGAAATGACGATACGGGGGCAGTTACGTCCTTATCTTTGGGGGCATCATTCTTGTCTTTGTAAATGTTTAAAGCAGATGTACAGTGTATGTTGAACAGACCATGTCAGGCCCTTTTGGAAAAACAAGGTCAGGCTGAATTAGTATTAAATCAAATGGCTTCCTCATATACTCCAATATATCCTATTGCTTTTCATTTATTTATCAATTAGACTGGCCAAAAGTCCTGGTTTGCCCAGATCAGTCCTGGCTCATGCCCATTTCCCTGGTGTGATTAACCAGTTTTACTCCCACAATGTCCCTGTTTTGATAAAGATTACGTGGTCACCTTTGCTTTCTGAGGGTAACTGGAACACATGGGGAGAATTACCTCACTCATGTCTGGAAGACAAAGGGGTGACTCTTCCCAAAGGGCTGTACTTGAGAACAGACCGTATGGTGAGGAGACCTTTGCCTCACGTGTGGGGAAATCACAGGCAGGTCCAAGGTCATGGCAGCTTGAAAATGTGAGAATGCCTGGAAGGCTTTGCAAATCAGAGGTGTCTCTCTCCACTTCTAACTCAGGAGTCTGTCAACTTTTTTACAATTCACTGAAAATCATAAATATCTCATTTCAACCTGGCACAGCACCATCATGGTTTGTGATATTTAAGATTTGATAACATGGTGTTACATTTATGTTAGGCTTTATAATTTGTATTTCCTCTTCCCAGAGGTAGATTTTATTTCTATATACAATATCAGATTTGAGAGAATTTTAGTACTGATTTCATTCGTAGTTGGAAGTACTCTCTGATTTTTGGTGTCATAGGTTGACGTGTAAATTGATGTGAGACTTTTCATGTTCGGTTTTGAACTCCAGACAAGAAATATCCAGTTCCTGCAGTTCTGAAGGGCCTCGAGGTAAGCAAACCTGGGAGAACGGTCTACCCCTGAGTAGCAGAAACAAGTCACCTTTGGACATGATGTTTTCTGGTATCTTACACCAAAAATATGGATACAGATTTGTGGTAAGGCTTCCCCCTCTCAGATGAATGAAATTACTGTGTACTTCTCTCAGAAACAAGAGCGGATATCAGAAATCACGTGAAAACTTCCTAGTATTATTAGTCATTAGGGAGATATAAATTAAGCAATGATATACTGTGATACAGCTACCAAAATGTCTAACATTTTTTTGAGAGGCCATACCAACTATTGGCATGAATGTGCAGCAACCGCAGCTCTCGTATGTTTCCAGTGGGAATGCAGAATGACTCAGCTGCTTTGCAGAACAGTTTGGTAATGTCGTATAAAGTTAAACATACACTTCCCATATGACCCAGCAGTTACACTTCTAGTTATTTATTCAAGGTAAATGAAAGCATATGAATGCCTGAGTACACCGTTTGTAAGAGCTTTGTTCATAATAGCCCAAATCTGAAAACAACCCAAGTGTCTCTCAGCTAATGAGTGGACAAACTGTGGCATATCACTCTAATGAAATATCATGCAGTGACACAAAAGGGGCAAATTGCTAGGATACGATAGCATGAGTTAGTCTCAGAAGCATTAGTCTAAGTGAAAGAAGCCAGATACAGTAGTATACATAGGGTATGTGCCATTCTGCAAAACTATAGGGAGAAACATCAGATGTGTTATTTCCAGGAGATGGGTATGTGTGTTAGGGGTAACGACTCCTGATTGGCAATGAAAAAATGTTATATGTCATTTTGGTGGTGGTTACACGAATGCATGTTTGTAAGAACTCATTCAGCTGTACTGATGAAACGGGTGAATTTTCCTGGATGTAGAGTATCCTTCCAGAAATCTGACTTAAAATTTTTAAAAATAAAATACTATAGCTTAATATTTCAAGATGAACTAGAAACATTAAGGAAATGATAAAAGAGATGAAAGAAAAACAAAACATTATTAGGAAACAAAGACATGAGTTGAGAGAACTCAAAGAATTTGAAGTAAAGAAATTATTTTGGAGTTGAAGACTAAAATAGAAGCAAGAAAAAAGAAAATAAATTCCATAAAATAATTTTGTAAGGGCCAGCGCAGTGGTGCAGCGGTTAAGTTCACATGTTCTGCTTCTCTGTGGCCTGGGGTTCGCGGGTTCGGATCCTGGGTGCAGACATGGCACCACTTGGCACACCATGCTGTGGTAGGCGTCCCACATATAAAGTAGAGGGAGAGAGGGAGATGGGCACGGATGTTAGCTCAGGGCCAGGCTTCCTCAGCAAAAAGAGGAGGACAGGAAGTAGTTAGCTCAGGGCTAATCTTCCTCAAGAAAAAAAAAAGAAAAAAAAGTAATTCTTTAAGAAAATAGAAGGCCAAAAGGAATAAAAGTTTTAAAATCAAAGAGATAAGAAAAAGTATAAAAATTTAAGGCAAAATAATAAATATAGAAAACAGGACAAGAAAAATAATATACAGAAAATGGAATCCTTGAAACAAATAATTCAAGAAATCATGAATTGAAAGCAAAAGTATAATTAAAGAAATCTTTCTGAAATAAAAAAATATATATTTGGTTGTGCTTTTCGGCTCACCAAGAGACAAACCCATTGAGTTTGGCTAAAATACCAGACAATGTTAAAGATTTCTGGGGAGTAATGATCAGGAATCTCTGTCAGTGCACATATGGTAGAGTTCCTCCCCTGTTCCCTTAGGAGTGGAAGGCCTTGTTGACCACAAATGAGCACATGCAGACTTTCTAGTGATTTGCATTTTGAAAGAGTCCCTTTAGGATAAATCTGGAAAATTATGTTAACCATAGTAATATGTTTACTTGACTTTGTGCAAAGTAGAGGGCAACAGAATCCTTGCTCCTTATGGTGTATACGTCTGAGTAGAAAGATAGCATGTATTGTGACAAGCTTAAAGGAAATGGTATTGTTTCAGAGGGAAGTTTTGAGCATTGTTGAATAAATTGATCAAGTTGAAATTTCAGTGACCACCTATGCGTAGATTGCTTATGTTTCCTTCTGCTTGGTATTTGTTTAGTGCCCTTACTAGTCAAAGTTTTCCTCTTGTCCATTTTCAATTTTAAGTTGCTGGATTTCAGGGACTTTGTGATTTGGATAGTAAAGAGTATCTGAAAGGCTCATTAAAAATAGGCTTTTCATAAAAAGGAAATAAGTTAGAAACAGTATTTTTGAGCTCCTTTCCTGTTCTAAGTTTTCTGTGTATGTCCCTGTTTCCCACTATCCTCTAAATAGATTTGAAAGTTTATAGAGGAGGAAGCTGAGATGCAGAAGAGGTTGCAAAGCTAGAAAGTGAACCCATGTCCTTTCTGCCAAAACAAACCAATTCCTGTAGGGTTTTGGTTTTTAGGATCGTGATGATGGGAGACTAAAAGGAGAAGTCAATGATGGAGAGTTGTTGCCAGTTAAGAGCGAGGACAATACCTGGAGACAAACCAGGGGGACTAGTGTGCTGGTAAACGTTTCACTGACTCTCCTGAGTAGTGTTTGCTGGTTCTATGCTGTACACACTAGATCCCTGGCTGATTTCAAACGGTCAATGTGATGTAACTGAATCCAAAGTTGGGAACAGATGTGCAGTAGCACACCATTGCATATTTTTTCTACCATACGTTTACAAGAGACATAAATAAACCCATGAGCATAGATAATAATGTCATAAAATTAATCAGGAAGTGATCAGTTTTAAGTATTTATTACCTTTGTTTTTAATATAATTTAGTTGTAAGTTTATATAATTTCACTTTTTGCGATGGCTGTGTTTAACAACTGGCTTGCAAAATAGCTGAACATTTACAGTCGTTTCTTGCCTGCCAGCCTGAGCTGGCTCTGTACCTGCTGCCCTGCCTCCCATGAGAGATGGCAGTGCATCAGTCACATTCATTGAAGCTCCACTGTCTGCTGAGTCCCTTTTTTCCTAAGTACTTTTAGTGCCTCACCTTCTCCCTGTGCATCGCTCTCACTGACACTGCTACACCTGGATTTAAAGGGCGTGGAAGAAGTGAGTAAGCAAGTGACGTTCTCACAGAGAAACTGGTAGGTTGTCTCCCCTGATTATCAAATGTGTCCTTAAACTTCAGAGCGACTGATGTTTATTTTTAATTTTTTCAAAAAAATTTTATCTTTTAGAGCAGTTTTAAGTTCACAGCAAAATCAGGAGGAAGATAAGAGATATCCCGTGTATCCCACACATGCACAGCCTTCCCATTAACAGCACCCCCCACCTGAGCGGTACATTTGTTGCAATTGATGAAATGACATGGATATATCATAATGGCCCAAAGTCTATAGGTTACATCAGGGTTCACCCTTGGTGTTGTATATTGTATGGGTTTGGAGAAACATATAGGGACATATATCCATCATTATAATATCATACAGAGTATTTTCACTGCCCTAAAAATCCTCTGAGCTGCACCTATTCATTCTGCCTATCCCCATCCCAATCCCTGGCAATCACTGATATTTTCATTGTCTCCATCTTTTTCAAGAATGTCATATAGTTGGAATCATACAAGATGTAGCCTTTTCACATTGGCTTCTTTCACTTAGTAACAGGCATTTAAGTTTCCTCCATGTCTTTTCACAGCTTGACAGCTTGTTTCCTTTTAGTGCTGAGTAATATTCCATTGTCTGGATATGCCACAGTTTATTTAGCCATTCACCAACTGAAGGACATCTTGTTTGCTTCTAAGTTTTGGCAGTTATGAATAAAGATGCTATAAACATCGATGTGGAGCTTTTGTGTGGACATAAGTTTTTAACTCCTTTGGGTAAATACCAAGGAATGCAATTGCTGGATCGCATGGGAAGAAGAAGTTTAGTTTTGCGTCTGTTTATTTCTGGTAGTGAGGTGTCAAAGTCTCTAACTACGATAGTAGATTCATCTATTTCTCTTTGCAGTTCTGTAAGTTTTTTTGCTTTTAATTTTTTTATTGAAGCGTAGTTGACATTCAATATTGTATTAGTTTCAGGTGTACAACGTAGTGATTTGACATTTATATGTATTATAAAATGATCACCAAGACTAGTCTAGTAACCATCTGTCACCATACAAAGTTATACGGTATGCTTGAGTTTATTCCCTATGCTGTACATTACATACATCCCATGACTTACTTATTTTATAGCTAGAGGTTTGTACCTCTTAATCCCTCTCACCTGTTTTGCCTGCTGCCCCACCCCCTTGCCTCTGACAATCACCAGTTTGTTCTTTGTATCTATGAGTTTGTTTCTGTTTTGATTTGTTTGTTCATTCGTTTTGTTTTTTAGATTCTCCATAGGAGTGAAATCATGTGGTATTCGTCTTTCTCTGTCTGACTTATTTCACTCAACGTAATGTCCTCTACATCTGTCCACGTTGTTGTAAATGGCAAGATTTCATTCTTTTTTTGGCTGAGTAATATTGTGTTGTATACATGTACCACATCTTCTTCATCCATTCATTTATTGCTGGACACTTAGGTTGCTTCTGTATCTTGGCTATTGTCAATAATACTGCAGTGAACATAGGGGTGCATGTATCTTTTTGAATTAGTGTTTTCATTTTCTTTGGATAAACACTCAAGTAGAACTGCTGGATCATATGGTAGTTCTATTTTTAATTTTTTGAGGAATCTCCATGCTGTTTTCCATAGTGGCTGCACCAATTTACATTCCCACCAACAGTGTACAAGGGTTCCCTTTTCTCCACATCCTCACCAACACTTCTTATTTGTTGTCTTTTTGACAATAGCCATTCTGACAGGTGTGAGGTGATATCTCGTGGGTTTGATTTGCATTTTCTTGATGATTAATGATGTTGAGCATTTCTTAAGGTATTTGTTGACCATCTGTGTGTCTTCTTTGGAAAATTATCTATTCAGGTCCTCTGCCTATTTTTGTTTAATTGTTTGTATTTTTTTGATATTGAGTTGTTCGAGTCCTTTGTATATTTTGGATATTAACCCCTTATCAGATATATCATTTACAAGTATTTTCTCCCATTCAGAAAGTTGCCTTTTCTTTTTGTTTATCATTTTCATCACTGTGCAAAGCTTTTCAGTTTGTTGTAATCCCATTTGTTAATTTTTGCTTTTGTTGTCTTTGCCTGAGGAGACAGACCCAAAAAAATATTGCTAAAACCAATGTCACAGAGCTTACTGTCTGTTTTCTTCTAGGAGTTTTATGGTTTCAGGTCTTGCATTTAAGTCTTTAATCCGTTTTGAGTTTATTTTTGTAAGTGGTGTAAGCGAGTGCTCCAGTTTCATTCTTTTGCGTGTAGCTGTCCAGTTTTCCCAGCATTATTTATTGAAGAGGCTGTCTTTTCTCCATTGCATGCTCTTGCCTCCTTTGTCATAGATTAATTGACCCTGTAAGCATGGGTTTATTTCTGGGCTCTCTATTCTGTTCCACTGATCTGTGTGTCTGTTTTTGTGCCAGTGCCATACAGTTTTGATTACTATAGCTTTGTAGTGTAGTTTGAAACCAGGGAGTGTGATAGCTCCAGCTTTGTTCTTCTTTCTCAAGATTGCTTTGACTATTTGGGATCTTTTGTAGTTCCATAAAAAGTTTAGGATTATTTTTTTCTAGTTCTGTGAAAAACACCATTGGTATTTTGATAGGGATTGTATTAAATCTGTCAATTGTTTAACAGTATTAATTCTTCCAATCCATGAGCATGGAATATCTTTCCATTTATTTGTGTCATTTTCAGTTTGTTTTATCCATGTCTTATAATTTTCAGAGTACAGGTATTTCACCTTCTTGGTTAAATTTATTCCTAGATATATAATTTTTTTGATGTAATTGTAAATGGGATTGTTTTCTTAATTTGTCTTTCTGATTGTTCATTATTAGTGTATAGAAATGCAACAGATTATTGGAAATAAACCTACCAAGAAAATAAAGCATGATTATAAAATCCATTATTTTAGATACTAGCATACAATTAAAAAATAATTAAGCCATGTATAAAAGAAGCTGACAGTATAGTGATGGGTTTTGAATGAAGTTACTTTTTTTTTTTTCTGTAAAGATTGTCTCCTGAGCTAACAACTGTTGCCAATCTTCTTTTTTTCTTTTTCTCCCCAAATCCCCCCAGTGCATAGTTGTATATTTTAGTTGTGGGTCCTTCTAGTTGTGGCATGTGGGACACCACCTCAGCATGGCCCGATAAGTGGTGCCATGTCTGCGCCCAGGATCTGAACCAGCAAAACCCTGGGCCACTAAGACAGAGTGCGAGAACTTAACCACTCTGCCACAGGGCCGGCCCCAAGTGAAGCTACTCTTATTCTGAAACTCTAAGCATTTGAGATTCCTCCAAAGACAATGGTAATGCGCTACTTTGTGCAGTAATGTCTATATAGTTTTATTTGGAATTAATATTCATAAAATATATTTCTTTCCTTTGCTTATTTTCTCCTTTCCTTATTTATTTATTTTTTATATGCATTTTCTATGTTCATTTTTTGTTTTCTCTTTGATAGGCTTTTTTTTTTTTTTCAAAACATGACTCTTATAATTGAGTGTTGAGATAACAGACCGTATAATGGAATTGGGAAAAATGAAGTCTTTTTGGGAAAAGAAAGGTTTTGCATTTAGCTTCCCTGAAAGGGAGGTTAGAGCCAGGTATTAGATGGTTAAAAATGTTAAAGGCAATTTCCTGGAACTCTTAAGGGGACGCTGGGGTTAGGACTATTCCCACCTGCTCGAGACCTTTTCCTTGGCAGCACTCCTTCCCCAGGAGGGTCCCCAGGGCTGTGGCTGCTGCTGTGCAAGCTGGACCAGTGTCATTAATCTGCAACCAGCTAAAGTGTCGCTGCTGCCTCTTCATGCTGCCCCTCCTGCTCCATCCTGGTTGCAATTAGTAGAAGAAAACTTTGATGTTCTCCCTGTGCTGCCTAAAAAGATTTAAAGCCACTTTTAATCAATGCAATGGCCTTTGGAGGTTCATCTTCATACTGTTATTTCTCTCTAAGTTCTGTGAAATTTGCTTTTGAGGAAATAGGAGTTCAGTTGTCCATAAGCAACTGGAGTTCTTCTCTTTCAAGACTCTGACACCAGGTCTGGTCTTGGACAAAGCCTTACCTGAATCACTAGAAGAGTCTAACTGTGGTGCCAGTTATAAAGAGCTTCCTCTCCAAATGACTGTTAGTTGTGAGATGTTCCAGAACTACCACAGATTTCACTGGCAGTTCTCTTTGTCTGATGCACTGGAGTCTGTCACACGACTCCAGGTAGGTGCCCTGCCAGCTATTGTCTGACTTGCCCTTTGGTGGGAACTGAGTAGTAACTTCCATCGCCGTTCCTCAGGCTGTCAATGTCTCAGCTTAGTGCAGGCAATTTGAAGCCCCTTTGTGTAGCCCTCCCATGTGAACAAGGGCCACTCAAAGTTTCCCAAATATCTCTGAAGGGTTTGGTATTCGCCCTTAGATAACCCATGACATATGGTCTGTTCTGGAGAATGTCCCATGTGTACTGGAGAAGAAGATGTCTTCTATTGTGGTTGGGTAGAATGTTCTGTATATGTTTGTTAGGTCTGGTTGGTTTATTGTGCTGTTACAGTTCTCCATTTTCTTACTTGAACTGTCTATTTCTCTCTTCAATTCTGTCCATTTCTGCTTCATTTGTTATGAGAGTCTGTTAGTAGATGCATAAACATTTTTAATTTTTATCTTCTTTTGCTATAAGGAAACTGTTACTAATATATAATCTCCTTTTTTATTCTTGTAGCTTTTTGGATTTAAAGTCTATTTTGTCTGATATTAGTATAGCCATACCAGCTGTCTTTTGGTTATGATTTGCAGAGAATATCTTTTTTATGTCCTTTCACTTTCAACCAAACCTTGTGTCTTTGGATCTATAGTGAGTTTCTTGGAGACAGCATATGGTTGGATCAATTTTTTTCTTTATGGAATTTTTATTTTATTTTATTTTTCCTTTTTCTCCCCAAAGCCCCCCAGTACATAGTTGTGTATTTTTAGTTGTGGGTCCTTCTAGTTGTGGCATATGGGACACTGCCTCAGCATGGCTTGACAAGCGGTGCCATGTCTGCGCCCAGGATCCAAACTGGCGAAACCCTGGGTTGCCAAAGTGGAGCACGTGAACTTAACCACTTGGCCATGGGGCTGGCCCCAGTTGGATCAAGTTTTAAAATCAATTCTGCCAATCTCTGTCGTTTGATTGGAGGGTTTAGTCCATTTATAATTAAAGTAATTACTAGTAAGAATTAGTTCTGCATTTTACTATTTGTTTTCTATATGCCTTACAGTTTGTCTTTCATTTCCTCCATTACTGCTTTCTTTTGTTTCATTGATGTGTTTCAAAGTGAAACATCATAATTCCCTTCCTAATTCCTTTTGTGTATATTCTATAGATACTTTCTTTGTGGTTACCATGGAAATTATATTTTAGTATTCTAAAGTTATAAAAATCTGTTTTGAATTAATACAAACTTTTATAACCATTATTTCTTCAAGTAGTCTTTCTGCCCCCTTTTTTCCTATTTTCTTCTTGAATTCCCATAATGTGTATGTTGGTCCTCTTGACAGTGTCCCAAAGCTCCTTTAGATTCTATTCACTTTTTATTTTTTCTGTTCCTCAGTCTTGATCATTTCAATTGTCTTATTTTCAAGTTCACGATTCTTTCAATCTGATTTTGGACCCCTCTAGTGAATATTCCAATTCAGTTATTGTACTTTTCAGCTCCAGAATTTATTTTCAATTCCTTTTTATAATTTCTACCTTTTTAGTGATATTCTCATTTTGTTCATAAATCATTTTCCTGTCTTCATACATGTTTTCCTTTAGCTCTTTAGGCAGCTTTAAGATAATTGTTTTAAAGTCTTTGCCTAGGAAGTCAATATCTGAGTGTCCTTGAGGATAGTTTCTGTTGATTTATTTTGTTCCTTTGAGTGGGTATGCCTTCCTGTTTCTTTGTATATCTTAAGTTTTTGTTGTTGAAAAATAGACATTGCAATCTTATAATGTAGTAACTCTGAAAATCAGATTCTCCCCTTCCCCTGGGTTTGCTGAGCTTTATCTGTTTTTGCTTTTAAATTTTTCAGAAGAGTCTCTGTGCCAAGGATCAGCCTGAGGAGAAACTTAAGGTCTTCTCAGGTGTTTTCTAAGCCTACATCTTTCTCTGAGTGGAGACCTTCTAAATTCCCTTGTATGTATGGTTGCTTTTGATTAAATGTTTGGCTCCTGAAATTGGAAAAAGGGAAAAAAGAATGGCTTCTTTAAATCCCCTGGAGACTGCCTCACCTATTGGGAGTTGAAAGAATGACAACTAGTCTCTGTGTCATTGGAACACAGAACCCCAGTATTTGAAGGAAAGTATTCTTAATGTCCACCCCAGCTCCAGCAAGCTGCACTGGGAGTGCTGGCATAGCTGCTTCCCCCAGGGCTGAGGAGTGGGGAATGGGTAGCCACTATCGCACAAAAGGCTAAAATTGGCCAAAATTAACCACAACCAACTAGCCAAACTTGCTCCTGGAAGCATCAAGTATTCAAGTAGACATGAGTTCCCAAATAGGTACTCCAGAAAGGCTGCCAGTACAGTTGCTTTCTTGGTAGAGAGATGGATTCCTGGTGCTTCCCATTCTGCCATCTTCCCTGACATCACGTGTTCCTTCATTTTTAAAGGATAGTTTTGCTGGGTGTAGAGTTCTCATTGAAAGGTTTTTCTTTCAGTATTTTGAGTATTTCGTCTACTGTTTTCTAGTTTCCATGGTTTCTGATAAGAAATTAGCTGTTAATCTGATTGAGGATGCTTTGTTCTTGCTGCTTTCAAAATTCTCTCTTTGTCTTTGGGTTTCACAGTCTGATTTTGATGTGTCTAAGTGTCTGAGTTTGTTCTACTGGGAACTCACTGAACTTTTTGGATGAATAAATTAATGTATTAAATCAAATGTGGGACATTCTCAGGCATTATTTTTCAAATATTCTTTCTGTTCATTTATCTGTCTTTACTCCTTCTAGGATTCACATTATCCATATATTGCTATAGTGGATGATGTCCCAAAGGTCTCTGAGGCTCTATTCATTTTCCTGTTCATTTTTTCTGTCTGTTTCTCAGTTTGGAGTATCTCACCTGGCTTATCTTCACGTTTACTGATTCTTTTTTCTGCTAGTTCAAATCTGCTCTTGAGCCCTGTAGTGTTTTTCATTTCAGTTGTTGTACTTTTCAATGATAGAATTTAAATTTTTTTTTTTTTTTTTTTGAGGAAGAGTAGCCCTGAGCTAGCTGCTGCCAATCCTCCACTTTTCACTGAGGAAGACTGGCCCTGAGCTCACATCTGTGCTCATCTTCCTCCACTTTATAGGTGGGACGCCTACCACGACAAGGCTCTTGCCAAGCAGTGCCACGTCTGCACCCAGGATCCGACCCGGCGAACCCTGGGCCACCGAAGCGGAACGTGCGCACTTAACCGCTGCGCCACCAGGCTGGCCCCAGAATTTCTAATTTTTAAAAACAATTTATTTCTCTCTATGTATTCTCCATTTAGTGAGACCCTGTCTTCATACTTTCCTTAAGTTCTTTAGGCATGGTTTACTTTAGTCCTTTGAGCATATTTAAAATATCCCATGTAATATCTTTGTCTAGGAAGCCAATATATGTGCTTCCCCAGGGAAGGTTTCTATTGACTGATATTTATCCTGTGTATGGACCATACTTTCTTGTTTCTTTATATGCCTCATAAATTTTTGTTCAAAACTAGACATTTTAAGTAATAGAATATGCCAATTCTGGAAATAAGATTCTTCCCTCTTTCCAGTGATTGTTGTTGATCTCAGATGTGGTTGCTGTTTTTTTGTTTAATAACAAATGGGGAAAATGGCAATTAAAGGATTAAAGTATAAATAAATTGTGATCTATGAATACAAGGACATATTACTAGATGTTAAAGGTCACAGATAGTAGACAACTGTGGCTTGAAGTCTGAGGTCAGGAGATGTTAACTGCAAAGAGGCTCAAGGAAATTCTGAGGTGACGGAATTGTGGTATATATTTTTTATGGTACAGAGTTATACAGGCATATATATTTGTGAAAACTGTTAAAATTTATACCTAAATGAGTAAAATTTGACGTAAATATTTGATTTAATTATAAAATAAAGGCAGATAATTTTGAAAACTGATGAAACCCATAAAGCAGGGTAAATAAAGATGGTCTGCTATACATTTAATATAACTACAGAAAACTAAAGTCAGAAATAATAAAACACACAGACAAAAAAGTTAACCTCCCAGGAAGCAGTAATTAGATGAGCTCACAAAAGAAAAAAATAGCCACAAAGTAGTGGAATAATGTCAGTGCTGAAAAAAATAGCTGTCCACACAGAATTCTACACTCTTTACAGCATATTCTTCAAGAATAAAGATGAAATAAAGATAATTTCACGGGAATAAAAATAAAGAGAATTTGTCACTAGCACACTCACAATAGGGACATATTAAAGGATGCTCTTCAGGTCCAGATGAAAGCACAAGGATACAAAAGAGAAAAAAGTATGAATATATTTATATTATATGTAAGCAATGTTACAAATTACCATATTTATCTTGTATGTAAGCAATACTTATGTTTTATTTGTTTGCCTAGTAGGCATCATGCATGAATGTCAGTGTTGTTTGGGGTTTTTCTGAGTCCGTTCTGGCTGCTATAACAAAATACCATAGATTAAGTAGCTTAAACAGCAAACATTTATTTCTCACAATTCTGGAGACAGGGAGGTCCACCCAAGGTGTCTGCAGGTTTGCTCCCTGGGGAGAGCCCGCTTCCTGGTTCCTAGACAACTGTCTCCTTGCTGTGTCTTCACATGGCGGGAGGTGCAAGGGAGCTCTCCGAGGTCTTTTTATAAGGGCGCTATCCAATTTATTATGACCTAATGACCTCCTTTGGGTGCCACCTCCTAACCACCTCCTGGTCGTTAGATTTTCAACATGTGAATTTTAGGGGGACACAAACATTCAGTCCATAGCAAGGTTTAAAGGAATATTCGTGTGCCCGTATCATTAAGAGGTCAAGATTCATGCCTGCTATGTAGATTCAGTTTGGTTACTGGGACTACGCTAAAAGTCTACGCTTCTTCAGGAGAAGGTAAAGAAATGGAAATTGATTAACCTCACTTGTTAGGGATCACAAAAAGCAACACAGAAGGGATTGAGCTGAAAATCAAAAGCAGAAAAAGTATTTGACAAGGGGGTAGGATCAGAGAGAAATTGAGGGGGCTCATTCTAGGAAGAGAGTTGTAACAAAAGCTCCAGAGGGCTTATATGGCTTGTTTTGATAGGGTAACTTCCTTCCAGCACTTGAAGTTGGCCTGGGTTATAAGATAAAAGGCGCGGCACTGTGAAGATGATTGGAAATGTACAATGCTCTCATGAGGAATTTGGATTTCATCTGGGAGGAACTAGGGAAAATATTTCTTACTATAAAGGTGACATGGATAGAACTGAGGTGTGGGAAGGGACCTCCACAACTCCACAGATATTAGTCGACTGATAATGACGCTGTGTGATGGAAACCTGTGGGGAATGAAGTAAGCACACTCTGTCCTGAATGGTGCGCGTGGTGCTTTATAACCTCACAAACCAAAAGCCCCAAATAGACAAACTATCATGCACGTAAAAGCCTTATCCTTACTTCATTTAGCGAGTCAAAAAAGATAAACATTAAGGGTGACCGTAGAACGATGCTGCTGACAGCTCTGTGAAGCAGGAAAAGACCCACAGCCGTGGAATCTGGGAGAAGATGGGGTGAATTTCATCCCTTCTTTGTGTCGTGCATCTGATCTGTTCTCCTTCTGTACTAAACAATGGTGACCCAAGGGACGTGTAAGATTGTGAATGTAAGAGACCTTCAGCACCCAGGGCTGAACCTCAGGAACTTCAAAGTAGACAAATTCTTCGGGCATCTTTTGTCTGCACCCCTTTCTCTAGGTCCCCAGGTGCTTTTGACCTGTGACTGCGGTTGGGGATCTAAAGTCCCCCTGGAATCCCACTACGCAGTCCTGGACCTTCTTTATGCTTTCAAGTTACCTCTTTTCTGTGACCTCAGCAATAAGAATAAAAATAATATTCACAATAATAATGACAATGACAGTCGGTAATATTTCTTTTTTTTTCCTAAAGATTGGCACCTGAACTAACATCTGCTGCCAATCTTCTTTTCTTTTTCTTCTTCTTTCCAAAGCCCCTCGTACATAGTTGTATATTCTAATTGTAGGTCCTTCTGGTTGTGCAATGTGGGATGCCACCTCAGCATGGCCTGATGAATGGTGCTAGGTCTGTGCCCAGGATCTGAACAGGTGAAACCCCGGGCTACCAAGCGGAGCGTGCAAACTTAACCTCTTGGCCCTGGGACCGGCCCCAACAGGTAATATTTCTTGACTGCTTACTATGTGTTAGGCAAACTGCTCTGGTCTGATTAAGTAATTCAGTCTTCACATCACACGCCTCTGCTCATCTTTCCAAACATGAGAAGAACAGTGTCAGCCACATGATATGTGGCTTTTGATAGATTCCATATACCTTCTCTAAACTTCTTGGTATATATTACTTGGTATATATATATGCCTTCTCTAAACTACTTGGTATATATATATTAGCAGTGTATCTGCTAAATACTTGTGGTTAGCACCTCCTTCTTCTCATGGCTATGGCAAATATTTAGCTTCCTGACATCATTCCTCTTTCTTCTCCAGCCCCAAATTCCGTTCATTTGCATGTGTGTGGGTGTGTGTGTATGTGGTGGTGTGAAGGCAGAGAACTTGTTTATCTTCACCTTAACTCTGTATTTCTCTTGCTCCTGTCGTCACTGACCATTTCTGATTTTAGTTTCCAGATGCCGTTGCTGTTGACGGATTTGAGATTTCCTCCTTCTTAGTATCCACAAGCGTTAATTAATCACTTAACCAGGACATCCATTAATTTATATAAAATGTACATCTACATGCAGAGCATTGAGCACTTAGAGTTTACAAGGATAAAAAAAGTATGATGTCTTCCTTCCTTGAGAAGGCAAGCATACAAATTAAACTAAATTTGATGAAAGAGTTAGAATTAGGTTAAGACTCTACTTCCCAGTTTGTCCAGGACAGTTCTAGTTTATCTGAGTTATTATTAACAGTGTCTCTTTCACTTTTAACGATGTTCTACTTTGAATGATAAACTCTATTACTAAGTTATGCCTAGGGGATTCAGGGAAGACTGCAACATAGATGAATAAAAATAAACTTTTTTTTTTGGTGAGGAAGATTAGCCCTGAGCTAACATCTGTGCCACTCTTCCTCCATTTCATTTGTGGGTTGCCACCACAGCCTGGCTTGATGAGTGGTGGAGGTCCACGTCTTGGACCCAAACCTGCAAACCTGAGCCGCCAAAATGGAGCACGCTGAACTTAACCACTACGCCATGGGGCCAGCCCCCAAAATAAACATTCTAACAATTAAGTTTATGATAGACTTCGTAGTTAATATTTCTACTTTCAAGAGATCCAATATATACTTATATTGGACAGCTGATTGGATTGAAATCTATCACTAAAAATTACTTCCCGTAAGTACTGGTTCCTGGTTGATGAGCTTGAGAATTGTGGGTTTATTGACCTGTTCATTTCTTTACTAGGTCCTGACATATCAGATGGAAAATCTCTAGTTTTTGCATCTCTAAAGAACTTCTAGGTGATCAGCTTCATGCCCAGATCTCTCTCAGGCTCACAGTTTGTGGGAGGCATGAGTCCAGTATTTGTCCTTGATGTTTCCTGACACCCTAGGCTGAGTTTTTGATGTAGATTAATTTGAAATATTTACCACTTAACCATATGAATGGAGTCACTATGTAATCCTTTAAAAAAACAGTGTTTTCTGAGACACTGATACCAAGCCTTGTGGTGCTTCAGTCTATGAAAAAGTTCCAGTTTGATGATGATAGAACTTAGACAAGACGCTACATCCCCTATCTTTTGGCCCAAAGCTTGGTCCACCACAACAAGCAGGGTTTGTTAACATGGTTAGTAATCCATGCTAATCGCATTAGCCTGGAGTTTGACTAAATATCAGCTAACGTTTTTTTTAAACTTCTTGCAAAACATTGCAACCCACCAATCACAAAATTTTCCTCCATGGCTTCTTCAGCACTGTCATTTAGGCTCTTGTTTATGTCTTAACAATCAGGCTGTTTCAAAATGACAATGGCATCCCAGGTGAGGAAACATTGTGCAAGTTTTTAATCACCTGCTAATAATACAGGCAAGAAGTGACAAATTACACCACCTGTCTCAGAGTCTATATAGTTGCAAAACAAGTTACTACTGAGCTGTAAAATTTGGATTGAAAATTAGCTGTCTGTTGTTCAGAAAACCATACTACCCGAAAGGGTTCCCAGTCTGTGTTTGTTCTGCTCTTTATTTAGTACTCATAGAAAAGTTTTAATCTCGGCCCTCTGAAGAGGCTGGAAGAGGGATATCATGACATTCAAAGCTCTCTGGGGCTGCTTTGTGTTCTCTTTGCTTTTTATATTTGCGTACCTGTACCAGGCAACATTGAAGAACCCTGGAAAGTAAGGGCCTTGGATGCATTTATTAAAACTATTGATTTTGTGGTAAGTCACATTTTTTCTCCTAGATATTGGGATGCCTTGTTGACTAAAAATCAGTGCCTATGAACTGTCTGTTAATTACTGTTTTAAAATAATCATTGCTTGTTTCTTTGTTAGCATAAATCAGTTACATAAAATTAAGTAAATAAAACTTGCTGCATCTGTGCAAAACTGAGTGAGATAGAATTCTTGTTCCCAAGGACTTTATGTCTAAATGTAAATACTCTGTATATTGTGCTATGCATAAAATAAATGGCATTGTTGAAGGGAAAAGCTTTGAAGTTTATTTGATAACTTGGCTTAGATTTGAGTGGTCAGGGACAACCTAGTCCTGTAATTATCTTATAGTGTACAGGTAAGCATTATTAATGTTTGTACCTGTTTGACATTCATGTAGGGCTCTTACTATTTCAATGGCTTCCATTGTGCATCTTCAGTTTTTAATTGCTGGATTTCAGGGATTGTCCGACTTGGAATATGCAGGATGGATTATGAGTTCAAGCAAAAATAGCTCCTTAGTAAGAGGGAGATATGGTTAGATACTAACATTTTTGAGCTCTTCAAATGTATAGGCTTTCTAGAATATGTACCTCTTCTTATCCCCACAATACTCCAATTATTTTTACCAATTTATGGAGAAAGAAAAAGAGGCTCAGCAGAGCTCATGCAGCTAGAAAGTGACAACTCCAGAATTTGAACTCAGGACTGCCTCATTTCAAAACCATGCTCTCTGCCAAACTGCGTGGCTGCCAGGAAGGTTCTTCCGTGGTAATAACAATAAGAGGCTGAAAAGAGAAGGCAACACCAGCAGCAGATGATCGGAGAAGAGAGAGCAATCCATGGAACAGGAGGGAGGGGCTGTCCTGTGGTGCTTTGTAAGCAGATGACAGTTCTGTGAAACCACAGCCAGCTCCTGTCTGTGTCTGCTGAGTCTTGATGTTTCTCTTTCTGATCACTTCTAGAGGCTCACCTTCACCATAACTTTCTTTCTCAACGCTCTTACTCCTTGAATTTACATAAAATGAAAGAATATGTGGATAAGCAAATGTCAGCTCCGCAGAGAAACTGCTGCTATCTTCCTTGATTATTTCATACATATTTAAAACTCAGTGACTGATATTGATGTTATCACCAAAAATATAACATTAGCATAATATCCAACTCTAAACTTCTACTCTTACTTTCTCAGCTACAAATTGTTCTTACCATTATCCATCTATAGTAAAATTATGCAATTGATGTATTTGATATTGTATATGCATTACCCTTTATATTAAAAAATATAATAATAAACCACACACATAGTTACTTTAAAGATTATTCTACAGTCTTTGGTTCTATGGAAAACAATTTTATTCTTGTCAGTACTGAATTTTGTAACTCAAAGTTGTGATATCTGTAAGAAAAGTTAATTTTTCAACATATGAAAGGGAAGTGAAAATTAAAGTTCTTGATAAAGTGGCCTTCAAAAATGAATGCATTACTATGCAGTCGTGTGTTAAATCAGAAGGTGGGGCTGGGTAGGAGAAAGCGTTCCAACCCTGAAAAATTTCCTTTCCCCTTCATTGTATGTTGTTTACCTATAAACAGGGATACTAATAATAAATGCTTTGCAGGATTGCTCTGAAATTAAAGATCATGCATGCTAGAAGAGGACAAAATAATCTGTAAAGTGGTAGTTTTTCTTATGGTTTTAAAAAGGACAAACAAGGCAATTTGGCAAAAATCTTTTAAAAGCCACTTCACCAAATGAAAAATTAACCTAATTTACCAAAAACTTGCTTTCAGGGGTGCTCTTAAATTGATTATATTCAATTAGCATGAAAATACTTAAGAATTCTTCTTAGCGAAGGAAACTTAAATAAAACAAGATTTATTGAATCCTGACATGTGCCAGGCACTCGTCTACGGGTGGTAAAAGTCCTAACTCACTTAACCTCTACTACAACCCACTGAGGGATTTCTTACTGTTATTACAGTTGTGTAGATAAGGAAACTGAAGTACAGAGAGCAAGTAATTGGCTTAAGGTCGTGCAGCCAGTGAGTGGCAGTACAAGAGGCTGGTCTAGGAAAATGGGTGCAGATTTGGCTTTGACGCTTACTGGCTGCAACTGAGAGCTTTTGATTCTCTCCCTATCCTTAATGTCTAGGGGTTAGAAGTTCCCTAAGACCGTGTAACCTAAAACTTTTTGGAATAATTGTAGTATTGCGGCAAGAAAAGTTGTTTAATATACTATCGACCACGTAATTTTTAGAGTTTTTCTTTTGAGTAAACTGTCCAGTGACATATCACAAAGGTCCTAGAGAAGCTGGTTAGAAATACCAAGGAGAGATTTCTTCAGTGATATCAAATATGGGATTTTGGCGGGGGGCGCGTGCAGCAGGGGAACGAAGGACACAAATGTATTTGGAGTTGAAAAACAGGATATTTGAATCGTTAGTAGTGTGGTCACAAATGACTTAAAATTTTGGATTAAATAAAATGAACAATAAAAAAAGGAAAATATGACAGCATGTCTGCAAAAAAGAAAAGATGTTATAAGACATGGAAAGTTTTCAAATAAGAATTTACAATTAAGAAATAATTACAATACACATAAAAACTGCCAGTAAATTGGCAGCTTTTGAATGACATCGTTATCTAAAATACAGGATACTTGAGATTTTCAAAGGCAATAAGATTATGCCATAAGATCTATACAGTATTATTTGGAAATAATTTTTGCAAGCATTCTGTTTATTTATTTTGTTTGTTTTTTAGTTTTCTCCTTATATGCATTTGATGTTATTTAAAGATGGAAATGTTTAATTTTGTTTTGCTCTTACAGGCCACATGTTTTGAAAATGCAGGTATTATGAAATATGAAGAGTTTGTATCGATCATATTCAAGCTGGACTATACCGACCCACTTTCAGATGAACACGTCACAGTGATTGAGACAGCATTTGCTGATATTCCAGTACGTTTGTACACGCCAAAGAGAAAGTCCGAAATGCCACGACGAGCTGTAATCTATATTCATGGTGGCGCTTTTTGTTTTGGAAGTTTCAGTAAGTTTACTGTATAAGGAAAACGTATAACTGGCTGTATGTTTTTCCTGTAAGAACTATTTTATATAAATATACATACTTATGTATACAAGCATATATACCTACTCATATGTGTAAGCAAAGCTATAAATATTAGATATCTAATAGAGAGAGAGACATAGACAGATTTGGCGAAAAAATATTATGGAGATTATGACTTCTGTTTTTGTTTTGCTTTTTGGTAATCATTTTCTTCTCCTCAGGTTTTATATTGAATAGAGTTACATCAAGTGAAAGTAGGACGTGGACAAGTCAGTTAGTAAAACTTTTTTCCTTTGGGATCAGAATATGTTGAAGAGCAGAAACACTGAAGTGATGGGGATGTTGGAAACGGTCATTTGGGATCACACGCTGTTGGCGCTAAAAGATCAACTTTGTCATTACTGATAACGATGCTCACTGTGGTAAAGCTCAGAATGCTTGCTAACCTTGCTTCTAAAAGGAAAACACAAATAGAACTAGGCAAGAATAAGCTCTTCCCAGGAAGTCCAGTTTCCTTACCCATCTCTGGCGATGATTCTAAGAGGCATAAATGGCAGATTCAAAACAAAAATGTGGATAAATTTACCTTTATGAAAACTCCATCATAGAATGATGCTGGCATATGAGGGCCACTGTTCTATTTAATTCACATCATAAAATTAAATGAATAGAACTGAAGAAAGCCACACAGGTAATTAATGAATTTTTTTTTTTTTACCTTTTCTCTTTCTCTAAGTCCCATTTGGTTCCAAATAGTTTGAGAACCTTATAAAGATATCTACAATATAACAAGCTACACTTAACCAAATATTAGTAATGAGTAATCAAAGAGAAGATAAATATGGAAAATTAACAAGGCACAAAGACTCAGATTAATGTACAAAGTGCTAAAATGGTTTGGCTGCAATTGTGGCTTTCTAGTTTTCCTCTTCCTAGCTTTCTGACAATTAACATATGGGAAAAAACCATAATCAGTTACAAATTTCACAGTGACTTTGTCAAAAGAAAATGACTTAGGTGACTCTAAAAGAGATTAAATACTTTCTTCAGGTGAAGAGCCTCAGGGAGCATTTGAAGACCACGTGGCTCCTCAGTTGAAGAAGGGTTATGGGTTTTTTGTGGGCTGGGAAAAATTGAATGCGTCCCCCTGCAGCTTCAGCTTAGGCAGCAGTACCCAACTTTGACGAAAACTCATGGTTGGGGGTCACTCCTCTGTTCATGTCCCTTGCTTGGATTGGTTGGTAGAATCCTGAAAACCATCACAAGAGTATTGCTTTCCACAAGCAATCACAATCACAATTACAAGAGTATTGCTTTTGCGAGCCTTATGTCTTCTCAGCTGCTCAACATTCACAGTGTGGGGAAGGTAGCTAGCCATAGAGTAGAAACAAGGGGCTAAATGTAGAAGGCCAGGGGAAACAGGGAGCCTCTCGTGTTTGTTTTATTCTTTTTACAGTCTACAAGGTGAAAATTATAAAATATAAAACTGGATAATTTGCAACACTGAGATGAGAAATCCAGCTCTTGTGCTTTAGAAAAAGACTTTCTATTCTAGATAAACATCTTAAAACTCTTCGTACAGTCAGCTGTTGATTGTTATGATCATTCTTATAAGTATAGGCTGATAGCATGACTCGAAGGCATTCTTCTTTTCAGTTGCTTTCCTGTCTGCAGATTATTAAAAGTAACCAGCCCCAAATAATCCTCATGCCAAAGAGATGTATCTTGGGGTAGCCAATTCCAGGGCCCCACAGGCTTTAAACATGAAAGTCAGAGGGTTTTTATATCTCGTACATTTTGGCCTTTATCTATGCATGGACTTTCCTTGCAAATTATTGACGCAATTTTTAATGAAAACATTATTTTTCTACTTAAAAGACTAGGTCATTTACTTTTTCTGTTTTCAAGGTTGTTACACAGCTGTATTTAATTAGTTTTCAATTTGAAGTTTTGCTACTATGTGAGAAGATGCCTTGGAAAAGTTTGAATTTGGATCACAACTCTAGAATTCTCTGGATTTCCAGAATCTTATAATAAATAAAGTCATAGCAGATGTCACAGATTTGCCAAGGTGTTGTTGCTGGGGCACTGATAAACTGGTGAGAGTACCTGGGGAGAGAGGTGTGTGTGTGTGTTTGTGTGTGTGTGGGTGTACGTGTGTGTTGCAGGGAGAGCTGATGGCTTGTGTGCCAAGCATGCCAGAATGCATATGATGAGGATTATTTTAGGCTGGTTACTTTTAAAAATTGCAGATGGGAAGGAGGCTCTGAAAAGTAGAATTTACTTACCCTTTGTTAAGAGGCTCTTACATTGTAAAGGAAATCTCCATCTGTAAAGGTGTCTCCCTCTCTGTACCAGGAAGAAGAGGGGATGACCTTATCTCTAGAAACCCTTAATCAATGCCAAAGGCAGGGACTTAAATCTGCATTTCTTTACTGTTCTTGTGTGGTAATCTCCCATGATGACTCCCCCTCCACTCCCAACATCCTCCTTTGTCTTTAGCTAAAAATAATATTTAAGGTGGTGGCTTCAGCCATTTACTTAATCTGGTTTGATTCTTATCTAAGACCACTCAATAACCAGACCCCACCTGCACTGATACCATTTTAACAACTTTTTTTTACATATTCTTTCCTTTGTCTTGTAAAGAGATAACTCACATACCTATGCCTTAAATTTAGCCCTACCCTCAACCCATGTTTGCAGCAGCTCTTTACTGCCCATGGGTCTTGTCCCCATGCAATTCCACACTATTCTCTGAATAAAAGAGCATTACTGCCAGACCTTGAGAGTCCAAGAAATCTTTCTTTTGACTCCGTGGCTCACCCACCCCACATCAGATAAGTACATCTAAGTCCACACACTGACTTGTCAGAGGCTCTCTCAAGATCTCTATCTTAAATGCCAAGGTTGTTGGACCATTTCATAATGTGGGATATTTAAAGAAAATGGAGGTTTTGAGGAACCATGTTATTGAGTGTTGCAGTTTGAGAGAGTCAATGCATCTATTAGTACTTTCTTCCTCCCCTGAATTCTAAACCAATCGAAAGATTATACATGGAATTCAAGTAAATGAAAGTCAAAACATGACCATTCTTTTATGAAGGCTTTGGAGAATGCATGTGTAGGTGTTGTTGATAGTCAGTCACCCTTGCACTGGAGAGATTAATCCGTCTGTAGTGGCCAGTGCTGCTGCCTACATCCTCTGCCTCCTGCTTGTGAAACTCATTGCCTGGAGGAGCTGAGGAGAGTGGAATGCCCCAGGCGACAAAGCATTCTTGGGAGGATCATTGTGTGCAGACAGCAGAAGGTAAGAGAAAATTAGAATGGGCTGAGCCTAGTTTTTCCTCCCCAAAATACTGATGAGCCATGTTATCTTCCCACCCTAGGAAAGAGTGGCTGAAGAGACACTCCTGCAGACCATGCCATGCTGATTCCGGTCCCTCGCGTAGAAACGGGTGGGAAAAAAGATTCCTTGTAATAATGACAAATCACATTTGTTTCCAAGTTCATAGTTATAACATTTCTATTGTTTTTTAATTACAGGGAGTATTTTGACATTTATTTCTTCACTTCAGAGCAGATGTCTTTTGACTTCCTGAATAGATGGACAGCAAACAAACTTGATGCTGTTGTTGTGGGACTGGAGTAAGAAAATGATTTTCTTTGACCCCTGTGATTTTGCCCTTCACCAAGTAGAGGTTTGATTTCCAAATCAAGGCAGCTATGCCTCAAATACAAATTTTTTTAGTTAATACATTTTATTTGTCAGCATTGCAATTCCTCAAAGGGGTCAGTATCTCAATATTCTCCTGTGATTGTGGGAATCTCTTAGTGACAGCCCAGAGCGATCGTTTTTGGAAACAGTGTTGCTCTAGACACACAAAACTATAAGGCCTACTTATGCCCCAAGTAACATAGCTAGACAGGAGGAAATAAATAAACCATTACAGATTTTTGGATGTTAGGTTGTATTTGGGCTAAGAGTAATTCTTGTCTAGAGGAATGTAGAAGGTAAAGTTTGAGATCAGCTGAGAATTTTAAGCCACTCTCAGGAAAAGTGATCTGACATTCTGGATTTTGCTACGACATACTAGAATGTCTTAGGATGGTCCAGTAGTTTCTTACACTAGTATAGTTTGGATTTCTGAAGCTGACATCCTCAGGAGGATTTTTTTTCTCCCATCTCTTCCGTAGTAACAAAAGCATAATTAGAGACTTTTAATCCAGTAGTTTTTAGAAGACATTCTGACATAGTTTTTTGTTTGTTTGTTTAGCTAGGAAGCTATGGAAGTTTAGAGAAAAAAACTAAAGTGAAAATTTCATCCATCTAAAGAGGGGTTGCCATCATTGTCGTTATGGTTACTTACAGAACCTAGAAGGACTTCCTGTTTTTAGGGATATTTCTAATTTATAATATTAGACTGTTGTCCTTTTTACCTCCATAGTTTTTGAGGTAATCTAAATCTTATCAGTTTAAATCTTTTTTAATATAGTGATACGTTTGTGCATGGCTTATGTATTCTATCAAATCCTTAGATTTGTGTTGTTTTTTGCCCTAAAAAGTCTAAATCTACTACATTTAAAGCAATAGATACCAACCTCTTTTTGGTACATACCTGTATTTAAATTATACTTTTTAGGATTTTCTCAATACGTACAGTTTATAATAAAATTTTAAGGATCATCTCCCCACCAGTTAATGTAAAGTACAGTTATTTATGACGTTTAGCATTCTGAAGATCAGAAAGGAAGTTAGCCCTGAGAATAGATAAGAGAGGCATTCTCCTGTTTTTACTGGTCTAAATATATAGGGGAAAAATCCACTTGTATCCATTAAAAAAATGATGTGATAATGTGCCTTACACATGAATCTACCAGAAACAAGCAAGCTCCCTAGCATATTTAAATGTTATTTACATTTCAACATTTTTATCTAGAATCAACTCCTCAGCATTGTCTATGATGAGGTATGAGCATTGCCAGCACGTAGAATTTTTATCTAAGTGATCTTGAAAAAAATAGGACACTGCTTAGAATATGCTCTCAGATCTGCAGCCTTCAAAGATCCATGGTGCTTTTCTAATACTGTTTTTCAATGTTTGGATCGCCAGTTACACTGAGAGTATGATGTAAGCTACAAAGCCTCTCCGATCCAGAATGTAGCTGGACTAAAAATTACACTTACGACCTCAGGGAGTTCTCAACATTCTCCTTACTCCTCACACGCAATGCCACCTGTGGATCTGAGACGCGAGGTTGACAACCTGTATACCAGTTTTCGTTTTTTCACAAAATAGGAAGTTAGTAGAAAGCTCAGGTTTGATTTTTGGAAGATTAAACAGCAGAAACTGGTGTTAAATTATGTCTATTTGGTATTTGAAAGCCACATAAATGGTACTTTTAAAAATTGTCTAAATCAATTGTTCTTTTTTTAAAGCTATAGACTAGCTCCTCAACACCAGTTTCCTGCTCAGTTTGAAGATAGCTTTGCTGCAGTCAAGTTTTTTCTTCAGGATGAAGTTCTTACAAAATACAGAGTGGATCCCACCCGAATCTGTATTGCAGGAGACAGTTTTGGGGGCACGTTAGCAGCCGCAGTGACTCAACAGGTACATAATATTTATCTTTGTGCTCTGAAGTAGAGGTTGGAGATCCTTTTTTTCTCTCATACAGATACCCAGTTCTTCCAGAGACACTTGTTGAGAAGACTGCCCTTTCTCATTGGATTACAATGATGCTTGAATCTAAAAATCAACTGACTGTAACATGACTATCTCTTTCTGAATTCTCTCTTCTGTTCCATTGATCTATATGTCTCTCCTTATGCCAATACTGAGCTGACAATAGTTTTGTTCTTTTTTCTAAATCCATGTCTTTTCCTTCAAAATATTAGGCTATCTTTTCAATTTATAAAAAATAAAGGCTAATGAGATTTTGATTGCTATTGTATTGTGTTGAATCTATAGATTTGGGGAGAATTGACATCTTAATGATATTGCAACTTCCAGTTAATGCACGTGGTATATCTCATATTTTATTTAGGTCCTCTTCAATTTCTTCAGTACTATTTCACTGTTTTCAGTGAGGATGTTTTGCAAATCTCTCAAATTTATTCCTGAGTTATTTTGGAAAATTTCATTTAAAATAATATTTTCCAAATGTTTATTGACGGTATATAGAAATACATTTGATTTTTACATTGGTCTTTTACAATCATGTCCTTGAAAGATTCACTTATAAATTCTAGTAGTTAAATTTTTTTTACGTTTCCTAGGATTTTCTTCACAAGCAATCATATCTTCTGCAACTAGGAACAGTTTTAATTCTTCCTTTCCAATCTTTATGCTTTTCTTTTCTTAATTAGCGCACTGACTAGGGCCTTCAGTACAATGTTGAATGTAATTGGCTTCCTCTGTATCTTAGGATAAAATTGTTTAATATTTCAACAATAAACATAATGTTAACTGGAGGCTCTTCATAGTTGGCTTTGTCATATTAAGGAAGTTCCTTCTATTTCTAGCCTGCTGAGAGTTTTTGCGTAAGTGGCTATTGAATCTACTAAATGTTTTTAATGCATTTATCGAGGTGATTGTGTGATTTTCCTCCTTTATTCTTTTAATGTGGTATGTTATATTAATTGACCTTCAGATATTAAATTAGGCTCACATTCCAGGCACTTGGTCATGATGAATTAAAATTTTTATACATTCCTGTTTTCCACTTGCTAAAATTAAAGATTTTGTGTTTTTTGAGGGATTGATTTCCATTTTTTAAAAATTCTTTGTTCAGTTTTGATATAAGCCCTCATTAAATCATTTGGGAGCATTCAAACTCCTCTTTTTAAAAAATATCTTTCCTCTTAAGCATGAAAATAAAATGCTCAGAATTGGAGCACTTAGAGGAAGATTATACATACACACACAGACATATATTTATTTGTTTATATACGCCTATGCACTTGCCACTGTATATACACACACACACAAATACATCTATATAAGTACATATACATATGCTTTATGTGTGTACTAATCTGTAACACACATGCACATGCAAAGCTCTTGTGTGGAGCCAGAGTGGCAGTGGTGGCAAAGCTTCACATGTGGCTCTGTACCCTCAGCCTCCTTCAACCCCACATGCTCCATTTTAATTCCTTTCCTGTTTAGAGTTCTATATACGGTTTCTTAGGGGAAAAAAATAAAATAGAATTTCATCACCAAAAAGAAAGTTTACAAACCGTTAGACTTGTTGATTCCTGAGGCCCTTTCAACCTGAACTAATTTGCTGTGTATTTGAAATAATGTCTCTTATCTGAAGGATCTTGCTGGGGTGGAGTGGGGAGAGTGACGGGGAATGAAAATTGGAGACCGCCTTGCTTTGAGATTTTTACGCTAATTGCTCTGCCGAGTCATATAGCAATCTGTGATCTTGAATTTTATCTAAAACTGGTTTTGTGGATGTAGAGATTCTGAAAACTGTCCAACAATTTCCCAGTAATGATCATGCACCATCTCGCCACACTATAATCTTGGCTTGCGCACTGTAATGTTTGCTTGGCACTATAAGTGAAGAAAGCTTTCAAAATAATGATTAGATGGTAGCCATAGAAATTTATTAAGAAATTTATTAAGAATTTATTAAGATGTGAAGACTGGCCTTACAGTTTTCTAGCAGGGCAATCCTGAATATTAACACAGCCACCGAAACCCGACGCAATTCTCAATAAAATTTGTAGGGCAGTACAGATTGTTCTCTGGAAGTGAATTAAAATTTGACATTATTCTATTCTTTGAATTAACTCATTAAACAAGAACATAGTATCTATTTAACTTCCTGATCTATCTGTTCGACGAGATTGTTACAGCTGAAAGTATGACATCAGAACTCAGTGTGCTTAGTGTGCTTACATAGCACAGAAAGGTGATTTCCATTATCTTATTTATTTTTATGGTCACATTCTAAGTTACTTGTTCTTCTTGATCTGCCAAACTTTCTACACGAGTTATATTTTCATCAAAAAGTTTTATTCCCTGCGCTAGGTTTGTGCTTGATCTAGGTCACTAGGATCAACTTTTACTTTGTTATTATTATAAATCTTTTTTGTTTTAAAGTCTCATGACCCTATGATTAAGAGTATGTTATAGATTTATGGCTTGAGGAACTCAGTTTGAACAAGAATACACCACTGAGAGATCAATATTGTTGTGGACTCTGAGAAAACTTCAAGAGAATATATTAGATTTGTTTTCCTATACAGATACAAAAACAATCACTCATTGTCTCATATAGAATTCGCAATATAAAACGATGTTCTCATAGGCTAGGAGGATGAGTAGATATGTAATTTTCTTTTGAGGACTTTGTCCACTTTTAAATTCTAGTCCCATTATTAGAAGGGATGAAAATCATCCGAGATCTTCTGGAAACATCATATAAGGCATCCTAAAATCCTGATGTTGTTTGCCCGTCATGATGATCTGGACAGTCACTACAGGAAAGGAAACTTTTCTGGAAGTCGTTTCGTAATCTTTAATTAAGAGGAACAAATATTTTTAGTTTAACCATAGCATTTAAATCCAATTTCACAGCCATCTCATTCAATTTTATTTTAAAGTTATCTCTGCATTGCTTTTATTTATTGAGGATCAAAAATATCTTCTTCACTTTGGAAAATAATGTGAATTGATTTTAGACTCTGAAGTAATTGTGAAGTCCCACTTTCCTTAATTTTTAAAAACTATGTATTTCAGTATAGTTAATTTATAAAGGAAGCTATGATATCAGCTATCTGTATTTGCTAAAGTTTATAGTTTTGGTCTTTCTAAATACCCTATTCCTGCTAATTTGGATCATTTGTCATAACGTGGTAATGTGGACTCGTGGTCTGATTTACGACAATATTTCTCTGGCATCTCACTACCATATTTCTCTGGCCACAAATGAGCTTGCATGTTTGACACTTCAAAGATATTTAAAAATTTTCTTTAAAAAACACTCTTAATAGTAAATATTAATAAGACACTATAATTCATGATGATACTTTAAAAAAACTTGGCTGACGCTCAGCGCCCTTGGACATGGGATGATTTTCAGTAGTATGGATGCTAGTTTCTGCCGTTTTTGTTGCTTCTCTCTGTGTTATCACAACATCTCAGTGTTATACAGACTACCTGAAATCCATTGAAAGCAGAAACATCTGTCCTCTGTTACTTTCAATCTTGCCTCACCACTGCTCTGGAAGCTTCTATCCATCTGTACTAACCAAATCAAGATGAATTGCAGAAGCCACTGTGTAGTCCCGGGATGGTCTCTGTCACCATTTATTAGATCTTGAACTGAGTAACCCTCTCCTAGGACTGAGAGAGCTTCCTCAGCTCCTCTCTTACGGGTCAATCAGCAATATGTTAGTCAAGTGGAACACTTGTCTTAGGAGGTACCCCTCGCCTTTGGTAAAAAGATACCTCAGTAAGATTGCTAGATTAAAGAAAAGATTGGCTAACTTCTTCAGTCTGTAGAACTCAAACACCCTTATCAGTAGTGCGAGTTAAGCCTGTACTGTATAGGGCTTTGGAATTATTACCTTTTAACATTTGAAGGCTGTTCCTGATACACCGTGACAGCAAAGTTGCCTTATCCTGAAGTGACAGGTGGACGTCAATTTGGTAGATAAGAAAGTTGTTTTGTTCCAGCCTGACATCAGAAATTCTGTTTCACTGCCACCAAATTTTGGATTCCAGTTGGTCCATGATTATGTTGAGGATGGCTTTAAGGAGGCACTATTTTCCTTAAGGAGCCAGGGTTTGTGTTTGTTTGTTTTTTAAGATTGGCACCTGAGCTAATATCTGTTGCCAATCTTATTCTTTTTTTTTTCCTTTCTCCCCAGAGCCCCCCCAGTACATAGTTGTATATTCTAGTCGTAGGTCCTTCTGGTTGTGCTGTGTGGGACGCCGCCTCAGCATGGCTTGATGAGTGGTGCCATGTCCACGCCCAGGATTCAAACCAGTGAAACCCTGGGCCGCTGCGGTGGAGAGCGTGAACTTAATTACTCGTTCACGGAGCCGGCCCCAGTAAGTAGCCAGTTTTTTGCATGGAAGTTTAAAGGTCAGAGACATTCATGTTAGCCAGATAAAGAATAATGTGTTAAGAATTTCTCTCTATCTCTCTGTCTCTGCCTCTTTCCCTGACCTCCCTATCGCCTCCAAAAGACCTCCAACTTGAAATTCGTTTTGACTCAAGTCTATTGTCTATGAAATGAAATGTATTTTCTTAAAGAGGTAATGAACAAATGGGCACCAGACATGCACTGCTTTTAAATCATGTATTATTTCCAAAACCAACAGACAAATCAACCAACCATCAAAGAAATCTCCTCTAAGTTCACATGTGTACTGTCTTCTCTGTTTCTTTGACTACCTAAATCATCCCGCTACCTCTGCTAGATCAGGGCCCTTCCACCTCCCACCTCCTCAGGGATCTTTCGCTGGAAGTTATTTCCTTTCTTTCTGCTTTCTTCAAGATCTCTAACTTTATTTGCTCTTTCACTTCAGCATGTAATCATATCTAGGCTTTCTCATCTTAAAATCAAAACAAAAAAGAAAGACAAAGCTAA